GATCCCCCCAAACAACCTCCTTGTCACTCGAAGAGTTGTCGTAAAGGTATACACATAACACGTGTACCAGCATATATGTTTTGATGTCATTGTGAGGAAAGGGATCTGAGGTCCTCCCTGCTCCCCCACTTTGCCCCGCAGCTCACCCCTATACACCCCTGCCAGGGGCGACGGTGAGCAAATGCGCTGTCTGCTCTCCCCGATGCTCACCCCGTCGCCGCCGGAAGACACACGTGGCGGTAAGCGAGGAGGGTTCCTCTGGCACTGCGCCCAATGAGTCAGAATCAGTCGTGGATGGGGAGGGGAGTGTCCTCCGATGAACGTCAAAATGAGGTTCACCCCCGCGCTGACGGGCACGAACATCGATGGGTCTTCCAGCGTCCCGTTGGCGGTTGCAGCTATGCTAAGGCATAAGAGCCCCAGGACCACGTACAGAGATCAGACGAACCCCGTAAGGGCTTGGAAGCGTGCGGGGGCGAATGGCGAAGCTTTAGGGCAAGACGAAGAAGAAGAAGAAGAAGAGAAACAGGAAGACGCAATGTGTGTAGAATCTGCCTTGACATGATGCTGCGAACCATGCAGGCAAACATGCGGACGTGAGAATCGCGTGGCAAACAAAGCGCTGAAATCATGTCGACCTGTGTCAATGACCCATCATAGACTCATGCGCAGAAGAATCCCTGCAGCCGACTGGGCGTAGGCGCTTTTGGGTGATTCCTCGTCTAACCTTCTTCTTCCCCTCCAGCCCCGTCCCCTGGGACTGGATGAGGGGGGGGGCCCTGCAAGGCGCTAGAGTGTTCAAGATAGCCCACTGGCCTCGGATCTCCAAGTGGCCTCGGGACCACCCAGTCACACCCCTGGGAGGGCACACATCTTTCAAACACCTCTGGATGTTCAACGATGCTTGCCTTCTCGTCTGCTAACTTCCGATGGGCAGTTGAGGTCTCAAGATGGTTCTGAGGTCGCTCGAGAGAGCATTAAAAAGGTGCCTATTAAAAACAGGCTCCAACACATCCCCAATAGCCTCCCAGAGAGCCCCAATCGCGTTCCAAGAGGGCTCCGATATAATATGTTTTCGAGCTCCAGATTGGCAATTCTCAGTCATGCCGCCATTGCTTTTGCTCGATGGCTTCCAGCTCCGAACAAGCCCTAGGAGAGCCCCCAAGAGGACCTACGGACCATCTAAAAAGGGCTCCAAGAGGGCTCCAAGAGAGCTCCTAAGATGCCTCCAAGAGGCTCAAAGAGGTGTCTTAGTTCACTCTTGGCGTCCTCTTTCTTTCGCTAGACAAGGATATGTTCCCCTTCTCCTTGCAAATCGCCTGGGCGTCGACTCTGGCCACTTCATCGGAAGGGGGACAGCAGCGCCTCCGATATAGCGGGGTGATTGGGCTAAAATGGCTACAGACAAAAAATAAAATGATGCGGGGAAAGAGACGCCTCGGCTGGCGGGCGGAGCTGGCATGGCTACAAAGTTTGTAGAGCAAGCAAAAAAGGAAGAGAGGGGGAGGAGCGGAAGAGGCAGGCGGAAAGAGCTCGTCCTTCTCGTCCTCCCTCCCCCGCTTCCACTACATCGTCCTACGACGACGACAACGGCGACGGCGACGACGAGGACGACGACGGCGGGGGACAACGCACTGCGGATGGTTCATGGGGAAGGCGGGCGTGCTGCGTATGCCCGGTGTAATCGCCGACGACGACGACAACAACGACGACGACGACCACGGCGACGGCGACCACGACGACGACAACGAAGATGACGACGACGGACGACGACGCACTGCGGTTGCCGCAGGAGGGGGGTGCTGCAGTCGACGACAATGGCGACGACGGATGACGACTAAGACGACGACGACGAAGACGACGGCGACGGCGATGACGACGACGACGCACTGCGGATGCCCTTGGGGGGGAAGGGGTTGCTGCTCAGGCCCGCTGTAGTCGTCGACGACGACGACGGGCAGGCCCAGTTCAGTCGACGACGACGACGACGACGAGGCGACGACGACGACGAGGAGGACAAGGAGGACGAGAACGAGGACGAGGACGAGGCCGACGAACGGCGACGGCGACGACGATGACGCACTGCAGATGCCCTGTGTGGGGGGTGCATGCTGCGCAGGCCCGCTGTAGTCGACGACGACGACGACGACAACGACAACGACGACGACGACGACGACGACGACAACGACGGACGACGACGACGGACGACGACGGACGACGGCGAAGATGACGACGACGACACGACGCGAGGACGACGACGACAACGACGACGGCGACGACAACGACGCCTGAGATGGAGAAAAGACTCGCCTCGGATGTATACGACCCTATAACAACTTCTACACGACAAGGCGATTTTTTCTGAGATTGTCACGCAGGGGGGTACAATGTCCTGGCGGCGGCGCCCGCGACGACCCCCTGGCGCGCGTGATTAAAAACATGTTTCGCGCCCCGTGGGGTCTATTCATCAGCGCCAGGGGTGGGTGGGCGTCACTTGTTCATCACAAGCTGACATTCTGGGAGACTCGCCTGCTCTGCTCAAACATTTGCGGTAGCCAGGTTTGGAGCTCTGGACGACGCCCAAAACTGCCCCCGAATGCCTCCAGACGGCCTTAAGGCCACACAAGTAGGCCTGAAGGTGACGTCAATACGACCCCAGATTGCTCCGAATCGGCCTAAGATGGCCCTAAGACGGCCGAGCATCGCCCCAAGAAGGCTCTAGATGGCCTCACGGCGGCCCAGGAGACACCACACCCAAGGAGGCCCAAGATGGCCACACTTGGCCCTCCAGGACGCCTCCGAGATGCCCACACCATTCAAGGCATTTGGAATATCAACTAGTCCAAACCATCTTGTGTTTTGAATCCGCAGCGCCCCGCCTCCTTAGATCCTCGTCGCAATCATCATCCTCATCGTACTCATCCGCTGCCCCATAGGGAGCTCCACCGAGTGCCCAGGTTGCCACATTCGCATGAAGGATCCTCGCCGATTCTGGCACACCCCGCACAACATTCGAGGCCCCAGAGGGAGCCTCATCGAAGGCCCCAGTAGAAACATTCGCATGAAGGGTCCCCGCTCATTCGGCGCACCTGTCGAACGTTTCGTGGCCTCATGGGGAGCCCCAACGGAGGCCCCAATGGCCGCGTTCGCACGGCCCTTCCCGCTCATTTTGGTACACCCCTCGAGACCGTATTTCACTTCTTGGCGATAGGCCGGGTTATCTGGTGGGGGGTGGGGGGGTAGTGGGGGAGGGGAGGGCCGATAACGGAGCTTTTTGGCCTTGGGCACCCCCCACGCATGCCCGCGCGCAGTAGTACTGCGTACCCCCTTCGGACATGCGCAACCGACGAGCTAAGACGAAACCAAGACGAGGATAACATCGGGCGATGATAAACCAATAATCTCTGAGGTCTGGCGGCTCTGGAGGATGTCTCGGGCGCTGCGGCCTTCTCAGAGCGTCCTGGAACGCTCTGGAATGGATTTATCATCGTCCTAGCCCCGCCCTGCGAGGTCAGGTTATCGGGCGGGGGGAGGGGGGAGGGCGACGAGCGGGCCCGATGATCCGGGCTATTGCCAGACAGTTAAGAGACACTCTCCTGAACACCTTACGGTTCGTGGCTCCATGGGGAGCCCCACGGAAGGCCCCAGTGGCCGCGTTCGCTTGGGGGTTCCCCGCTCATTTTGGCGCAACCCTCGCATGCTTCGTGGCCCCATGGAGGGCCCCACCGGAGGCCCGAATGGCCGCGGTCGCGTGGGAGGTCCCCGCTCATTCCGTCACATCTCTCACACCGTTCGTGGTCCCATAGGGAGCTCTACCGACAACCTAGTGGAAGCGATTAGGTGCGGGGTCCCCGCTCATCTCGGCACACTCCTCACACGCTTCGTGCCCCTTTAGGAGGCACCACCGAAGGGCGCAGTGGCCGCGCGTGCATGGGGTCCGCCCTGCGTGCTTGGTGTCAATCTGACCTACGAGTTTCTGAATCAACTGAGGCCCGCTGTTGAGGAGGACGAGGAAAATGAGGGATAGGAGGGGTATCAGAATGAAGGGGTGGAAGAAGGCAGAAGGAAAGGTGAACGGGCGGCGGAACGGTATGCACCTTGGTATAAGAAAATAAAGAGACCGCTGACCCTTGCAGGTAAGAAGCGTATGTCCCGACCTCAAGCCCTGCAATCCTGCTAGAACATATGATCTATCACCGCGAATGCACAAACCACACAACCTCGATTCTTCACACGATTGCCAAAATATTGTCTGACATAGGCACGGAAACCAGACATGTTCGTTGCCGGTGCAGGAAGACACCGCCCGATTTCCACGATCGGAGCCGACAGCTCGGATATGTTCTTCGCGAGCTGAGCAGCCAACGTGCAATCAACCGATTCAACCCTTCAGCTGGAACCGACGCCGACCGTAATCAACCAGCTGAGGATCATAGAAGCTGCTAGCGGCTCTTACTTAGGGCTCGCCAATGCGTAGGAAATTGTTGGCAAAATGCGTGGCCGTGACCTGTGTAGAAACCTAAATACAACCCAATCGTAGGCCCGGGAACTGACACAGGGATGCGCGACCAGCAACATCGGGACCACGGGGCGGAGGAGAAACCAGGAGTTCGCATGGTGTTGAAACTACAATGATGGGATCGTGGCGAATTCCGTCAGCGAACGTGCAAACTGCAATACTTACAATCACTACATGCCGTCTGTAAATATTTAGAAGCAGCAGCCAATCCTGCTGCTTGCCAGGGACCGTTGCAGCTGCGGCGTCACATGGACGAGCGAACGCCCGAACGAGTAGAGGCAAACCACGGAACCATAGCAAGGCCGCGGCCAAATATTCAGTTGGACCTGTGGCCCCGCGAACCACCACGGCTTCTTGGGCGACGCGTTGCGAGATGCCATGCGGATGCACGCATTGGGACGCGTCTTCAATATCGTACTTGGCAGGTGCATCTGGATCAGCTTCGAGATCGAAGTGCTCACCACGGTGCCAGCGCCGCCAACTAAAGCATACCCGAATAGAAGGGAGTCGTTGGTGGATGCCCAGCTGCGCGCAAGTCCTGGTATATCTTCATCTCTTTCTCCCTTTATATTTCCTTCTCGTTCCCTCTCTCTCTCTCTCTCTCTCCCTACATATACGTACATACATATAATCACACATACGTGCTTGCTTTGTTTATATGTAAATGTATACACATAAGTTTGCGTCCTCGGATGGCCCAGCAAATTGTGCGATGGTGGTAAGAGAAGGGGAATACTGGTGGTGGAGACGGGGGCCCTGCTGCGCAGGGCCCCTAACCACATCCAAGAACTTGATGCCCCATGGTGGTAGCCTGGTTGTTCAGAACCGGCCGGGCTCCTAAGCCGAAAATGACCACAGGCATCGGGAATAGCGATTGTACACACATTCGTGTTGACACACGGGGGCGCATCCTCGAATGGCCCTACAAGCGGTGCGATGGAGAAGGGGTTGGCACTGATGTCTCTCTTCTTACAAGTGGCGGAGACGGGGGCCCTGTTGCGCAGGGGCCCCGGCTACTCCCACGAGCTTGATGCCCCCCTTCAGCGATGGGAGTGGGTCTCCAAAAAGAAAGGGCGGAGCCCAAGAGGTGCGGGTGGCTCGGTCACCGGGCCCCCCCCGTGGACGCGGCCAGCATCGAGGCCCGCCAGCCGCGCCTCGCCGCCTGCGCCCCGCCGCGCCGGCATCCCCACCCCCGCGCCGCACCGCGCCGCGCAAAGGCGGTCTCGAGGCTGCCCCTGCCTTCCATAAAGCACGCCCTGGATTCCCCGCCGCCGCAGCGCAGAGAGCGGGGGTCCAAAGCTGGGAGGGGCGCGCCCGCCCCGTGGCGGCGCCCGCCGAAGGGTGGGGGACCAAGACTATCTCGCAGGAGCGCCATGGCACCTTGTGCAAGGCCCTCGCCCTGAAAGGTCGTGACGAGCCCCGCGCGCCGCGGCCGCCGCCTCCAGCTCGGCCCGCGCGCGCTGTCGCCAACGACGTGCAAGGCAATGCTGCCACCGCGCGTCAGGCGCCTGCGCCCGCGGCCCCTCTGGCCGCGCCCCGTTGCGGGCGACCTGCCCTTGGCGATCGACTCGTTGAGCCCCTGGGAGGCCTGCGTCATCTCGTCGAGCGCGCGCCATGTTCGCGGCCGCCACGCAGATCCTGAAGGGCTCGCCGAAGTCCGACGTCTGCGCGTTGCTGAGATCGTCCGCCCCCTGGTCCTCCTCGCGCGTGGCCAGTCTAGGCTCGGCGCCATCTCGCGCGACCTCAGCTCCCACGAAAGGTCGACGAGGAGGACCGTCAGAGGCCACTTGGTCGACGCGGCCTTCTTTGCCGCGCAAGCGTTCCCCAAATTGTCCGTCGACAGCGCCATTGTGAGGTTCGCCCTCTGGCGGCGCGCCCCTGGGCTTCGCGAGCGGCTTCGCGCTGGGGGTCGTACCGTGGAACTCGAGCGCCGCGGTGGCCCTGTTCCATGTCGTTTGAATGCGCACATGCCGGGGGGGAACCATTCCTTCTCTACATCGAGCGCACGCCAACGAGCCCCTCGCGTGCTGCCGTTCGGCAGTGCTTCCGGGCCGATTGTCCAGCAACGTCCTCCCTCTGCCTTCGCATCCGAGCGGAAGTGCCTGGCGCTCTCGGTTCTGGATTCGATGGGCGACTCCAAACTTTGTCCGCTCGCCAATCGTTTGCCGATCCACGGCGGCACGAGCCTGGTCGCCCACGGAAGGGGGGCCCTCTTCTCGTCCTTCCTTGCGACGCTGGCGAGCCAGGCATGCGCAGGCCCCAGTAGCGGCTCCCACGCCAGGACCATCGCCGCGAAGCCCAGGCGCCTCAAGCCCGACTCCAGCTCGCCCGCGTGGATGGCGCCGCATTCGGCCGTCTCCCTGCACCGGGCTGCTACCCGAGCCGCCCTCTGCCCGAAGAGGTCCACTGTGTACTTGGTGTAATCGCAGTGGAGACCGATTCAGTCCACCCTCAGGCCGCCCCACATCTTGACCCTCAGCACCTGGAAGCTTAAGACGCAAAGTAAAACGACCTTGAAGAGCGTTTCCAGTCGCCCTCGTTTTCCCACACCGATCGCCCCTTAGTCATCTGCATCGGTGAGCAGTTGTACGGGACCACCCGTAGTGCGGCATCGCATCGCATGGCCTACCAATCTGACGCGCTGGATATACCAAACGCGACCACGGTGTTGCAGCACACCTCGCCTTCGAACTCGCCGGCCAGCATGCCCCAGTCGTCCTCGCGGATAATGGCAAGCCGATGTGCTCCCCTTGCGTCGGTGGCGATTGGAAATATGACCTCGTGCCGGTCCCCGTAGTAACTCAGACGGGAAATCTGCTGCGCGGGCCTCGCCATCCTCTGCTGACTCCAGCATCGGATCTCGCGGTTCACGGCGACCTCGCATGCGCCGTCGTGGGCGAGTCTCTTCTTGCGGCACGCGCTCTCCAGGACTGCCAGCGCCGCCGTGGCGCGTTTGTCGTGGAAGCCGCGGCGCAGCCGCCCCCTGGACATCTGGATAATCCTGCCAGCTTTCTCCTCAACCGCGAGGTGTTCTCGGAGCCAGCCGCTGGTTTTCCACGCAGCTGGAGTTAGCTGCCTCTGGGGCGGCCCAATTGGCGGCCTCCTGGTCGAGACGCCGCTTCTTGAAGAAGAACCACCCCATTCCGGGGCATGTCGTGCAATGTGCCCGCGGCGACTCCCGTTTCCAGCTTCTTATGAATTCCGCGTCTGGGTCCCCGACTACGCGTAGAATTGCCGCATTGCCGCTGGTAAACACTTGCGGATGGGCCGCCCCTCGGCGATGCATCCAAAGTCGGCGCAGAGGCCTGCCCGCCCCTTTGCCCCCGGAAACCTTCAGAGGGTCTTCCTGGACGCCCCGTGGACCTCCTTCCTCGCGACATTGGAGGGCTCGCTCGGGTCGGCGCCGGCCCGGCGCTTCTGCGCCGCCAGCTCGACAGGCGCGCGTTCTGCGGCTCCCCATCCGCCCGTGGCTTTCGCAATCCCTCGGCATAGCTCTGTCCGCAGCTCGTTCCAATTCGGGAACTCCCGACGGTCTGGGCCCCGACGGCCAGACGAGAAGGCCCGTGCGGTCGTGGAATCCTCTCGGGGCCACGATGCGCTCGCAGCAGCGAGGCGGTCCTGCGCCCCCCCAATTGGGGCGGGGGTCTCATGGTCGCGCGCTTCTGTCCTCCCGGCGGGCCGCGATGATGGCGCCCGCGTGGCAGTCGGAGTTCACGTCGACATGCCACCTGGGATCGCGCATTCGAGCTCCGAAAGCGCCTCGAGCAGATCCTGTCTCGCCGGGGGCCACTCCGCGAAGAGCGAGCTGGCGGCCTTCGAGCCGCGGCGCCTCACGGGGAAGAGGATGTCCCGCTTGCCCACCGGGCGCTCGCAATTGCCCCGCCCGATGTAAACGTCCCCATCTGTGAGCGGGCTGCTCTGGGCGAGGTGGAGGCCCTCTCGGGCACCTCGCTGGCCTCGCTCTCGCGCAGCCCCCCGGGCGTGACTGATGAACGGCCCAAGGTGATAGATATTCCCATCCCGCAATGGGCTGTGAGCCGCTATGCCAAGCTGTGTATGCCCAGCGCCACCCACTCGCACAAATGCGGTGGCCAGACCGCAGCGCCTGTGATCTTGAACGCGGCGTCGCCCCTCCCGCGCCCAAGCGCAAAAAAAGCCCCGTGGGCGGCGGCGGCGGCGGCGCCGGGCACGCGCCGTTCGCGGCGAACAACGGCCTCCCGCGGATTGGTGGTCAGCCCCCGAAGCGAGCCAGCGAGGCGTGTCGGCTTCGAGCACGGCGCGCCGAAGCTGCTCTGGCGGCGGGCTGCAGCGCGCGCGCCGTCGAGTGCGAGGAGCTCGTCCATCGTTGGCAGCTGCCGCATGCCGGCAGGGCGCCGACCGCAGAGCTCGCCGCAGTGGACGGCGCAGGGGTCGTCGGGTTGTCCCAGAGGGCTGCCTGCACGCCGGTCGCCAGCTGAGTTTCAACGCGCGGAGGGCGAAGTCGGCGAGTAAACTTGGCACCTGGCACTTCAGTGCTTCGCAACCCTCCGGCCAGGGGAAGCCTCGAGGGCATTTCTCCGACCGCGCTGGGCACGGTCCACGGCGGCTCATCAACGCGACTCGTGACCAGAGGCTGCAGGGGGGGGGGGGCCGCGAGCACGCCCCATTCGCCCGCTGCCAGCCTCTTGACGCAGTGGCCCTGTAGCGCTGTGTCGGAGAGGTCGGCGTCCCCCGACCTGGCCAGATCCGCGTCCTCCAGTTTTGCCGGCGTGCCGGGGCTGCGCGCGAGCTCCGCGACACCTGCTCGTCGTTTGTGCCTTGCGAAAAGGTGGGGCACCTGCAGCTGCATCTGTGCAGCGCGCCCGGCCCCGTGGATTCCGAGGCGCGTCCGGCTCCTGTTCCGAGTCTTTGCCCTCTCCTCGTCGGTCGTCCCCGGCTGGGGTGCATGAGGGCGTTCCCCACTCTTGGAATTCGGTTGCGGACGTCTGGGCGACCTTGCGAGGTGCGCGCCCGCCCAGAGGGTCGCGCGGCGCCTCTCCCTCGCCAGTGACCTCGGCGAGCGGCCACTCGTTCCTCCCGGCGGCGTGCCGGCGCGGCCCCCGCCCCGGAAATGGGCGCGGGGCCCCGCTGACACCCGCCCATAGGAGGCCGCCGGCTAGCGGGCTCTGATTCGCCCCGCGGAGGGCGCGCGGACTGCCCTCGGGCGGAATCATGCCGCGAGGGCGCGGTCGCCTGGGGCCGCTGGGCACGATTCTGCGGACGGCGGCAGCTGGGGGCGCGGCCTCCTTGGCACTGCGCCGCCGTCGTCGTCGTCGTCGCCCTGGCGTCAGCGCCACTTGCCGACCCCTGCGCGGCGGCATCGGCAGTGGCCATCTGCCCTTCAGCGCGCCCTGGATCGGCGGCGCCGCCTGGGCGGGCCCTGATCACTGAGAGAGCCTCGCCCCGCGCGTCTCCCCCGCAGACGGGCAATCTGCGCTCGCGCCGCGAGTGGCCCTGCGCGAAGCGGCGCGACCACGCGCGATGGAAGCGGCATTTGTTCGGGCCACATGTGGCCATGAG